ACACATTTCATCTCGGACACCACATTTCAGATCCGGCCGCTACCACATGCAACATCAATGCTGCTCGCAGCCACTTCCTCGCGGTAAGACACTGTTTTGATTCCTATGTGTAGACTGAGCGGCTTCCTCATGTGTAGTTGGCCGCTGAAGATAAGGGGATCGGGCTGCATCTATGAGCGGATCGTGTAGCACTACGGCTAGTGGCAGGAGACAGATCTTGTGAGAATGTTTCAATTTTGCGATGAAGCGAGTTGGATTGGACCTCTTATATGGGTTGGGAGTAGTTGTGTCGCGGGCAATGCTATCGGCGGATCGGAGGGCTATATATGCTTCTCGGTTTCTAAGTCCTCCAGGCTTCATGAAGCGTCTTAAACAACGGGGGAAGCCTCGGAATACTGGTGAGGGTTCGGTGGGATGGTGATGGAGGTAGCTGGGACCGTTAGGGCCGTTCGAGAATCCTGTGAGACGTTTTGTGCGGCTGCGGGAGAAGGCTCGAGAGTTCTCCAGGATGCCACCTCCGAGGCGAATACCTCTTGCGAAGGCCCCCCGATACAGGCCGATGATGCTCAAGGAGGTAGGAGGCGTACCGCAGGTGAGCACAGGGGACCATCTCGAGAGAGTTGTATGGTCATTGGAGTGTCGTTCCTTGTTTCATCGCATCATCAACCTGGAAGTATGCTAGGGATGTTCAATCTCGGCATCTGCATGTGTGGAAGGTCTCGCCCCTTGCTCTCGAGAAACGCCTAGACTTCCTGCTCTCGGCGGCTGCTGTTAAGCAGCAACTTGCAGAGCCCCTGAGGTAGGTCAGCCTAGGGTGTAGCAATAGTCGTAGATGATTCCTGTGTTACCGTAGGATCGGCTATACGCCCTATGTTGTGGAGCGGTTGGCTTGGGAGAGGCAGATGAGAGATTTACGGAAGATCTATCGAGCACAGTAGGCGTTTTACGCGGAGGAAGTATTCTTCCGGCTTACATTCTATTTGATGTTGACTAGGACGACCGGAGAATTTCTTGGACTGTTGGTAGGTACTTACAGAAGCTAGATGAGGTGACTAGAGAAGAGCAGCAGAGGGAGATAGCATTGTACAAGCAGAGAAACAAGAACGATGGGAGAAGCGGCAGGCTCGTATACAGGCTATTAGTAGGCGACCTCAGCCGCCGTATTCTGAATCTGATTTAATCATCAGGCATGGACCAGAAACGGCGGGCGGTGTTGAAGGATCGTCTGCGTATAGAAGCTCGGGTTAACGAGGCGATTGAGATGACGAGACACTCTAAGCTTAAAGTGAAAAGAATGCTCTTCCTGCAGAGACTGCAGGACAGGGCACAATATATCACAGACAAGAACTTGGATGCTCGGCTGCCGGACTCAGATCCCACGGATCCTCAAGCAAAGGTGGGGAGTATCTTACGGTTTCGTCTTGCACGGCCTTGGTATCTTATGGTTTCATGATTCTTTCCGCAACTTCGAGATCTGTTACTTCATCAGAGTAGGCTAGAGGTCTTATATGGTTTGGTTCCTACCGTAGGCGGCGCCTCTTCGTGGTGATCCGAAGGCTATTATGGACAACCCAGATGCCGTCAGTCTACTCAACAGAGATGTTAATACTGAGCTGCTGCTGCGACAAGTTGGTGGGGCCGCCGAGTTTCCAAGGAATCGCAACCGACGTATTCATCCGACCTCCAATGTCTTCCGAGAGGCTATGGAGCTGTCTTATGATGTTCTACCCGAAGATGACGATCTTGAAGATGTTGATGACGGAGATGACGATGAGGTTGATAAGGTAGGGAGTTTTTGATCGAGAACTCGTTCTGTAGGATGACTGTTCATCAGCCGGACGCCCTTGGTCTGACGCGAGCCCTGTCGAACCAGCAGCGAGCGGATCTGTACTACGGCAACTTGACTGGTGACGAGAAGCTCGAGATCATTGAGCATAAGATTGGCATGCTGCAGGAGAAGCAGAAGAGGGAAGAGGAGGCGAAGGGTAGGCCGAGGCCTTGTGAAGTTATAGGAGTTCCAATGTGTTACTGTAGGCAGCGCTGATATCCTCACTACGAAGATGCTCGACCTCTTGACTGCTGCTAAGGTCGCGTATTTGGAAGCACAGACAGTGAATGAGATGAAGAAGGGAATCGATAGAGATGATGAAGAGTGATGTCATCGTTGGGAGTATTCGTTTCGAGTGATCCATGTTTCCTCGGTCGGGTGTTGTGTTGTGTCTGTCGCTATAGTGTAGTATAGTTTAAGTGGTCGCCGTTTTTATATGACCACAGTAACGATGGCTAAGCCAGTGGATTCGCCGAGTGCCTCACATCCAATGCGCCAGGGCTCATGCAAAACTGCGGTGGTAAGCCACCTGATGTGGGTTCCCCAGGCGTGGCTCCTGATTGGGTTGGTTCAGGTCACAGTAGAGACTCGGGACGACAGGGTGAGCACCGCAGTCGGGTCGATATCGTTCGACTGGGCCACGCCTCATCACTTGGTGGTTGACGACTGTAGGATTACATTAAGTAAGATGGTACTCTGAAGCGGAGCGGAGGACGGTGTATGCAGGCGGCCCATTCCGAGTGACCGTCCAAGACAAGAGTGACCTCAGCCGCGCTCGGGCTGATCCTCATTTCGCTCAGTGGGTGGAGACTGGCATTCGCAGCATTGATATTGATGTAAGGAATTCTTCTAACGTAATTTGCCGGGTCGGTTGTACCTTTTGCTGTGTTTCTCGTAGATATGTGAAGGCCCCGAGGACTTCTTCGACGGTCTGCATTCGTTCCTGGTATACGCTGGTGGTCGTTATCGCGTGCCATGGGACTCCTGTGGGTCTGTTGGAAGCAACCTTTTTGACCACTTCTGCGATGCTTTGGATACTGTGTTTCTACAAATCGCAGACAAGGCAGCCTGCTGTGTGTTCAAGTGGTAAGTGCGAGCTCACGGTATGGGCTGATGATGGCAGGGCATTGCTCGTTGTCAGGGTCGATAGAGTGGCAGAAGCGTTTGGTGCTGATGATCCTAACGCGATAGCCGTTCCTAGTTCTCCTGTTTGGTCTGTTGGCACCGACACTAAGCAGGAGGTTGGGACGACAACAAGCAGCAGCTCTACCTTTGGCACGCAGTGTGGTGACGATGAGGAGGATGTTGTTCTGGTGGAGAGAAGAGAGTCCACACCGACATTGGCCGACTCGGAGTTCTGGCAAGACTGTGCAATGCCGGAAGCTGTTATCATCAGCAATGCGGTCATCTCCGATGAAAGAGAGGGAGCTGACGGGACGCCCGACACTACTTCAAGTGAAGCGAAGGATGACGTTAGAGACGTCGTGGCACGAGTGATCGGTGTGGGTTTGATGGGAGCCCCCATGGAGATGGCGACAGGTGGAGAAGATTTCGATGGTGTTATGGTTGAGTGTGACACCATCAGCGAGTTCTGTGAGGTTGGATCAGAGGACTGTCACACTGACGGCGCCTCCGATTGCGAGTCGTGGGTCGCCTTGTAATGCGGTGGATTATGCTGTAGGACCCTTTTGAGAAGGGCTGGCTGTCTAGTATAGATGAGCAGGACGGTCTAAGTCTTGTTCTATTAAGGACGATTAATTTGTTGCTTTTGTCCGATTTTTACCAGGCACGCGATCACAGTTGAGTTTTAGTGTTGGGTCAATGGTAGACGTAAAGAAATTTGATTGTCGCCCGGTGATGTTGGGGAGCATACATAGCCACAACTCGAGGCAGTAGTTTAGTTTTGGTTGTAGGCTGCTCTGTGAACTGAGAGCTCCTGTGCTATTATTGTCATATGCTAGT